TGGACACTGGTGTTCTAAAATATCTCTGGACACTTTTGTTTTAAAATATCTCTGGACACTTTTGTTCTAAAATATCTCTGGACACTGGTGTTCTAAAATATCTCTGGACACTTTTGTTTTAAAATATCTCTGGACACTGGTGTTCTAAAATATCTCTGGACACTGGTGTTCTAAAATATCTCTGGACACTGGTGTTCTAAAATATCTCTGGACACTTTTGTTTTAAAATATCTCTGGACACTTTTGTTTTAAAATATCTCTGGACACTTTTGTTTTAAAATATCTCTGGACACTTTTGTTCTAAAATATCTCTGGACACTGGTGGGGGGACTTGATATTTACCGGAAGGGGAGCGGACACTGGTAAAAATATATGTTTACTATATAAATTCCATCTTGTTCGGGGGTGGGGGTTGGGGGCGGTAGACTTTCTTCGGTGGAGGGGGGGGCAGAAAAGATGCCTGGAAGAAACTCTGGCATCGATGTTGTCTTGACCGCACCCCATTTAGTTGGATTACTTGGAGAGCTACTAACTAGTTGCAACAAACCCACCGATACAACAGCTGGGCTGGTAACTATACCAGCGGGGTGGGGGGGGGGGGGGGTTCAATGTGGGGTTTTATTGTAACACCAAATATAGCCTGTCTTATATAGCCTTATACATCTAGATCTAGTACAATAAAATAATGAGTAATATACAGTTTATAATGTCATGCAATTTGTAATCGTAGTCGCTACCGTCCAACCGGTCATCTACTACACCATTATGATGACGCATATATACACTGAGAAAGAATTGACAGGGATTTTTGACTGGGGCATTTGACGAATGTATTGAACTGAGATATTTGACTGAGATATTTGACTGAGATATTTGACTGAGATATTTGACTGAGATATTTGACTGAGATATTTGACTGAGATATTTGACTGAGATATTTGACTGAGATATTTGACTGAGATATTTGACTGAGATATTTGACTGAGATATTTGGCTGAGATATTTGACTGAGATATTTAACTGAGATATTTGACTGAGATATTTGACTGAGATATTTGACTGAGATATTTGACTGAGATATTTGACTGAGATATTTGACTGAGATATTTGACTGAGATATTTGACTGAGATATTTGACTGAGATATTTGACTGAGATATTTGACTGAGATATTTGACTGAGATATTTGACTGAGATTTAACATTAATGCTTGACCTCCAGTAGACCCCACCACACAACAGCCTTGACCTCCAGTAGACCCCACCACACACCACAACAGCCTTGACCTCCAGTAGATCCCACCACACAACAGCCTTGACCTCCAGTAGATCCCACCACACAACAGCCTTGACCTCCAGTAGACCCCACCACACACCACAACAGCCTTGACCTCCAGTAGATCCCACCACACAACAGCCTTGACCTCCAGTAGACCCCACCACACACCACAACAGCCTTGACCTCCAGTAGATCCCACCACACACCACAACAGCCTTGACCTCCAGTAGATCCCACCACACAACAGCCTTGACCTCCAGTAGACCCCACCACACACCACAACAGCCTTGACCTCCAGTAGATCCCACCACACAACAGCCTTGACCTCCAGTAGACCCCACCACACACCACAACAGCCTTGACCTCCAGTAGACCCCACCACACCACACAACAGCCTTGACCTCCAGTAGACCCCACCACACACCACAACAGCCTTGACCTCCAGTAGATCCCACCACACACCACAACAGCCTTGACCTCCAGTAGATCCCACCACACAACAGCCTTGACCTCCAGTAGACCCCACCACACACCACAACAGCCTTGACCTCCAGTAGATCCCACCACACAACAGCCTTGACCTCCAGTAGATCCCACCACACAACAGCCTTGACCTCCAGTAGACCCCACCACACAACAGCCTTGACCTCCAGTAGATTCCACCACACAACAGCCTTGACCTCCAGTAGACCCCACCACACAACAGCCTTGACCTCCAGTAGATCCCACCACACAACAGCCTTGACCTCCAGTAGACCCCACCACACACCACAACAGCCTTGACCTCCAGTAGACCCCACCACACACCACAACAGCCTTGACCTCCAGTAGACCCCACCACACAACAGCCTTGACCTCCAGTAGATTCCACCACACCACACAACAGCCTTGACCTCCAGTAGATTCCACCACACAACAGCCTTGACCTCCAGTAGATTCCACCACACAACAGCCTTGACCTCCAGTAGATTCCACCACACAACAGCCTTGACCTCCAGTAGATACCACCACACAACAGCCTTGACCTCCAGTAGACCCCACCACACAACAGCCTTGACCTCCAGTAGATTCCACCACACAACAGCCTTGACCTCCAGTAGATCCCACCACACAACAGCCTTGACCTCCAGTAGATCCCACCACACAACAGCCTTGACCTCCAGTAGATCCCACCACACAACAGCCTTGACCTCCAGTAGACCCCACCACACACCACAACAGCCTTGACCTCCAGTAGACCCCACCACACCACACAACAGCCTTGACCTCCAGTAGACCCCACCACACACCACAACAGCCTTGACCTCCAGTAGACCCCACCACACACCACAACAGCCTTGACCTCCAGTAGATCCCACCACACAACAGCCTTGACCTCCAGTAGACCCCACCACACACCACAACAGCCTTGACCTCCAGTAGATCCCACCACACAACAACCTTGACCTCCAGTAGATACCACCACACAACAGCCTTGACCTCCAGTAGACCCCACCACACACCACAACAGCCTTGACCTCCAGTAGATCCCACCACACCACACAACAGCCTTGACCTCCAGTAGATCCCACCACACAACAGCCTTGACCTCCAGTAGATACCACCACACAACAGCCTTGACCTCCAGTAGACCCCACCACACAACAGCCTTGACCTCCAGTAGATTCCACCACACAACAGCCTTGACCTCCAGTAGATCCCACCACACAACAGCCTTGACCTCCAGTAGATCCCACCACACAACAGCCTTGACCTCCAGTAGATCCCACCACACAACAGCCTTGACCTCCAGTAGACCCCACCACACACCACAACAGCCTTGACCTCCAGTAGACCCCACCACACCACACAACAGCCTTGACCTCCAGTAGACCCCACCACACACCACAACAGCCTTGACCTCCAGTAGACCCCACCACACACCACAACAGCCTTGACCTCCAGTAGATCCCACCACACAACAGCCTTGACCTCCAGTAGACCCCACCACACACCACAACAGCCTTGACCTCCAGTAGATCCCACCACACAACAACCTTGACCTCCAGTAGATCCCACCACACAACAGCCTTGACCTCCAGTAGATACCACCACACAACAGCCTTGACCTCCAGTAGATTCCACCACACATAACAACAGCCTTGACCTCAAGAACCCATTCAATCAATGCATGTGTTAGCGCCCATAGTGGTATCAGTTCATCTCTGCTATTTGCGCGGAAATAATGAGATGGTATTCGATCAAACTAGATAATTGATGACGTCAATGCTACTCTGTTCTTTAGACAATACAGCAATCAATGTAAACTAATAGACTCTGAAGGTACTTTTATATTTTTTGGATCGAGGCATTTCACAATACAAAAGTCTACCGAGTTTCATATAGACTCTGATTTGATATGTACTGACATTTAACATTTCAAAATACTTAACTCTGCAGAACTGGAATCTGAAATGGAAGATTAAGTCGCAGTTCTCAATATGAGTTTAAAAATAAATATACGCTCTACTTATATGTACGTTTATGGTTTGTCTAAAAGTAATAAAACTTATAATTGATATGCTTGTGACCAGCTGTTGTCATGGCGACATATCAGCCATAAGCCCGATGTTGGTTCTAAAAGAAATCCAGCTTTATTTAATGCTGCATTTTTCTCCGATTCAATTAACGATATGACCCCCCCCCCCCCCCATAACAGAATGAGTGCTAGGGTCAACCGGTGCGATCCACTTGTGTAGCAGATGTTGGTGGGGCATGAAGCAAATATTCCAATAAAAAAAAAAAACGTTTTCTTTGGCAAGCTCAATGCAACAAGAATAGATGTGTCAGTTCTAATATAATAGGCTCATTCGGTGCAAACTCTACTTGCTAGAATGGACAGCCGATCGTGTTTGCAAGTTGGAATTTTTTTTGGCCCCCTATTTTTATGTATATTCTAACGTTATTTATTCCACTATGTGTATGTATATTGTAACTCTATTTTTACCACTATGTGTATGTATGTTATAACTATTCATCCCACAAAGTATAAGTAGTGTGTGACGTATGCTGCTTGCCATATAACAATTCCAAATTTTGTCATTTTCCTCTTGAATCTCTTTTCCTTTGTTTCTCCGTGCTAAATATCTCGTTGCTTATTGCGTCTCCCAGACAGCACACCTGTTTCACCTATTAACTCATTCAATTGTGAAATACCCATTCACCGACTAGAGGTCTTGTTGTAGTCCTAGAACTGGTTCATACCGTGGCCTCACAAAGGTAGGTCAGTTACAGCAGGATACGCATACCATTAAACAACAACAACAACCAACAAACAAACAACGTCAACTTGTCTGACCAACAAACAACATCAACCAAAACGACCAACAAACAACATCAACCAAATCGACCAACAAACCGAATTATTGATGTCTAACAACATTTGTAATTGTGTATGTTGAATAAGCCAGATAAATGGTACTATTTAATGTAAACGCGCATTTTACTTGAATAACAATACTCGATTCCTGAAACAACTATTTTCATTATTATTAGTATTGTCGCCTCTATTGTTATTGTAAAAGGTTTATCTGTGTGCGGTACATGCATAGCGGACACAAATAAAGGGCGTAATGACAAGGGGAACAATCCAATGTCACCGTGTGCTGTTGGCGGCTCTTGATAATTGAGTGCTGTATAATGACTCACCCATGCTAGGCTTTGATTGAATCTGATCTGCCGGCAATGGACGCCGCCACGGCCCGGACATCCAACTCGGACATTTTTTATCCGGGCAGTTTGTCCGACACACCCCTCAGCGGTTCTTGCGAATTTTATTTGTTTTTTTCGTTGTCCATATCACCTGTTGTCTACATCACCCGTTGTCTACATCACCCGTTGTCTACATCACCCGTTGTCCACATCACCCGTTGTCCACATCACCCGTTGTCCACACGACGTTGTCCACATCACCCGTTGTCCACATCACCCGTTGTCCACAAGACGTTGTCCACATCACCCGTTGTCCACATCACCCGTTGTCCACAAGACGTTAACCACATCACCCGTTGTCCACATCACCCGTTGTCCACATCACCCGTTGTCCACACGACGTTGTCCACATCACCCGTTGTCCACATCACCCGTTGTCCACAAGACGTTGTCCACATCACCCGTTGTCCACATCACCCGTTGTCCACAAGACGTTGTCCACATCACCCGTTGTCCACACGACGTTGTCCACAAGACGTTGTCCACATCACCCGTTGTCCACATCACCCGTTGTCCACACGACGTTGTCCACAAGACGTTGTCCACATCACCCGTTGTCCACATCACCCGTTGTCCACAAGACGTTGTCCACATCACCCGTTGTCCACATCACCCGTTGTCCACAAGACGTTGTCCACATCACCCGTTGTCCACACGACGTTGTCCACAAGACGTTGTCCACATCACCCGTTGTCCACAAGACGTTGTCCACATCACCCGTTGTCCACATCACCCGTTGTCCACAAGACGTTGTCCACATCACCCGTTGTCCACACGACGTTGTCCACAAGACGTTGTCCACATCACCCGTTGTCCACATCACCCGTTGTCCACAAGACGTTAACCACATCACCCGTTGTCCACAAGACGTTAACCACATCACCCGTTGTCCACAAGACGTTAACCACATCACCCGTTGTCCACACGACGTTGTCCACATCACCCGTTGTCCACATCACCCGTTGTCCACATCACCCGTTGTCCAAACGACGTTGTCCACATCACCCGTTGTCCACAAGACGTTGTCCACATCACCCGTTGTCCAAACGACGTTGTCCACATCACCCGTTGTCCACACGACTGCATGGCTGGGGGTGGTGTCGGCTGTAGGGCTGGGGCTGGAGGTGGTGTCGGCTGTAGGGCTGGGGCTGGAGGTGGTGTCGGCTGTAGGGCTGGGGGTGGTGTCGGCTGTAGGGTAGGGCTGGGGGTGGTGTCGGTTGTAGGGCTGGGGTGGTGTCGGTTGTAGGGTAGGGCTGGGGTGGTGTCGGCTGTAGGGCTGGTGGTGGTGTCGGCTGTAGGGCTGGGGTGGTGTCGGCTGTAGGGTATGGCTGGGGGTGGTGTCGGTTGTAGGGCTGGTGGTGGTGTCGGCTGTAGGGCTGGTGGTGGTGTCGGCTGTAGGGCTGGTGGTGGTGTCGGCTGTAGGGCTGGTGGTGGTGTCGGCTGTAGGGCTGGGGGTGGTGTCGGCTGTAGGGCTGGGGGTGGTGTCGGCTGTAGGGTAGGGCTGGGGGTGGTGTCGGCTGTAGGGTAGGGCTGGGGGTGGTGTCGGCTGTAGGGTGGGGGTGGGGGTGGTGTCGGCTGTAGGGTTGGGGGTGGTGTCGGCTGTAGGGTAGGGCTGGGGGTGGTGTCGGCTGTAGGGCTGGGGGTGGTGTCGGCTGTAGGGTAGGGCTGGGGGTGGTGTCGGCTGTAGGGTAGGGCTGGGGGTGGTGTCGGTTGTAGGGCTGGGGTGGTGTCGGCTGTAGGGCTGGGGGTGGTGTCGGCTGTAGGGCTGGGGGTGGTGTCGGCTGTAGGGCTGGGGGTGGTGTCGGCTGTAGGGTAGGGCTGGGGGTGGTGTCGGTTGTAGGGTTGGGGCTGGTGTCGGCTGTAGGGTAGGGCTGGGGGTGGTGTCGGTTGTAGGGTAGGGCTGGGGGTGGTGTCGGCTGTAGGGCTGGGGGTGGTGTGGGTTGTAGGGTATGGGGTGGTGTCGGTTGTAGGGCTGGGGTGGTGTCGGTTGTAGGGCTGGGGTGGTGTCGGTTGTAGGGTAGGGCTGGGGGTGGTGTGGGTTGTAGGGTATGGGGTGGTGTCGGTTGTAGGGCTGGGGTGGTGTCGGCTGTAGGGCTGGGGGTGGTGTCGGCTGTAGGGCTGGGGGTGGTGTCGGCTGTTTGGCTGGGGTGGTATCGGTTGTAGGGTAGGGCTGGGGTGGTGTCGGCTGTAGGGCTGGGGGTGGTGTCGGTTGTAGAGCTGGGGGTGGTGTCGGCTGTAGGGCTGGGGGTGGTGTCGGTTGTAGGGTATGGCTGGGGGTGGTGTTGGCTGTAGGGCTGGAGGTGGTGTCGGCTGTAGGGATGGGGGTGGTGTCGGCTGTAGGGCTGGGGTGGTGTCGGTTGTAGGGCTGGGGGTGGTGTCGGTTGTAGGGTATGGGGTGGTGACGGCTGTAGGGCTGGGGGTGGTGTCGGCTGTAGGGTATGGGGTGGTGACGGCTGTAGGGCTGGGGGTGGTGTCGGCTGTAGGGCTGGAGGTGGTGTTGGCTGTAGGGCTGGAGGTGGTGTCGGCTGTAGGTCTGGAGGTGGTGTCGGTTGTAGGGCCGGGGGTGGTGTCCGTTGTAGGGCTGGGTGTGGTGTCCGTTGTAGGGCTGGGGGTGGTGTCGGCTGTAGGGCTGGGGGTGGTTTCGGCTGTATGGCTGGGGGTGGTGTGGGTTGTAGGGTAGTGGGTGGTGTCGGCTGTAGGGTAGGGCTGGGGGTGGTGTCGGCTGTAGGGTAGGGCTGGGGGTGGTGTCGGCTGTAGGGCTGGGGGTGGTGTGGGTTGTAGGGTAGTGGGTGGTGTCGGCTGTAGGGTAGGGCTGGGGGTGGTTTCGGCTGTAGGGCTGGGGGTGGTTTCGGCTGTATGGCTGGGGGTGGTGTGGGTTGTAGGGTAGTGGGTGGTGTCGGCTGTAGGGTAGGGCTGGGGGTGGTGTCGGCTGTAGGGTAGGGCTGGGGGTGGTGTCGGCTGTAGGGCTGGGGGTGGTGTGGGTTGTAGGGTAGTGGGTGGTGTCGGCTGTAGGTTAGGGCAGGGGGTGGTGTCGGCTGTACCCCCATGTCTAAATGTTAAATGTCCCCAAGTTCAGCTCTAAAGAAGACCAAGCAGGCAGATCTATTTTGTCCTAAGTACAAACGTTCAAGTGATTAGCATAAAACGATTAGCATAAAGAATTTATTTATTTCGCTGACGCATGACAGCGAGAAGTTCACTATGACGTCACCTGTTTCACATTATCCGATTACTTTCCTTGTCCCCATAACCAATGAATCATTCGACAAATACAGGCGACAGCGTACTGCAGTCACAAATACAGGCAACCAATATAGAAACATGTCGATGTACCAGCAAGAGAGTTTTGCTTCTAAGAACTTCTTTACTAGTATGTTCCCACTAATACAAGGAACAGTTTAAGAACCTCTGTACTAGTATGTTCCCGGTAACCTGAAATTACCCACTAACCCACTAGGACCGGCAGGGGAAGTAAGCGCAGCACGATTGCCCTCCCTGTGTTTATCAGATAAAATTATGGTGGCCGATATATCGGGTCTCGGTGGGATTTTAAAAACCACAAATTAGTTTCATCTCTGACAGAGTAGGTGTGTAATGTTCAATGCTTGCAGCAGAACATTTATTCAGTAGAATTCATTCCATTAAAGCTACTTGATCACATTGAGCATCAACTGTTATAGAAAGTTACACAAAAGTATACAGTAGGTGACACGACAGCAGACAGTAGATGACACGACAGCAGTTAGTAGATGACACGACATAAGACAGTAGATGACACGATAGCAGTTAGTAGATGACACGACAGAAGACAGTAGATGACAGCAGACAGAAGATGACACGACAGCAGACAGTAGATGACACGACAGCAGACAGTAGGTGACACGACAGCAGTTAGTAGATGACACGACAGCAGACAGTAGATGACACGACAGCAGTTAGTAGATGACACGACAGAAGACAGTAGATGACAGCAGACAGTAGATGACACGACAGCAGACAGTAGATGACACGACAGCAGTTAGTAGATGACACGACAGAAGACAGTAGATGACAGCAGACAGAAGATGACACGACAGCAGACAGTAGATGACACGACAGCAGACAGTAGGTGACACGACAGCAGACAGTAGATGACACGACAGCAGAAAGTAGATGACACGACAGCAGACAGTAGATGACACGACAACAGACAGTAGATGACACGACAGCAGACAGTAGGTGACACAACAGCAGACAGTAGGTGACACGACAGCAGACAGTAGATAACAGCAGACAGTAGATGACACGACAGCAGACAGTAGGTGACACGACAGCAGACAGTAGGTGACACGACAGCAGACAGTAGATGACACGACAGCAGACAGTAGATGACACGCCAGCAGACAGTAGGTGACACGACAGCAGACAGTAGATAACAGCAGACAGTAGATGACACGACAGCAGACAGTAGGTGACACGACAGCAGACAGTAGGTGACACGACAGCAGACAGTAGATGACACGACAGCAGACAGTAGGTGACACGACAGCAGACAGTAGATGACAGTAGGTGACACGACAGCAGACAGTAGATGACACGACAGCAGACAGTAGATGACACGACAGCAGACAGTAGGTGACACGACAGCAGACAGTAGATGACACGACAGCAGACAGTAGGTGACACGACAGCAGACAGTAGGTGACACGACAGCAGACAGTAGGTGACACGACAGCAGACAGTAGGTGACACGACTGCACACAGTAGATGACACGCCAGCAGACAGTAGGTGACACGACAGCAGACAGTAGGTGACACGACAGCAGACAGTAGGTGACACGACAGCAGACAGTAGATGACACAACAGCAGACAGTAGGTGACACGACAGCAGACAGTAGGTGACAGCAGACAGTAGATGACACGACAGCAGACAGTAGATGACACGAAATTAGACAGTAGATGACACGACAGCAGACAGTAGATGACACAACAGCAGACAGTAGGTGACACGACAGCAGACAGTAGTTGACAGCAGACAGTAGGTGACACGACATCAGACAGTAGATGACACGACAGCAGACAGTAGATGGCACGACAGCAGTTAGTAGATGACACGACAGAAGACAGTAGATGACAGCAGACAATAGATGACACGACAGCAGACAGTAGATGACACGACAGCAGTTAGTAGATGACACGACAGAAGACAGTAGATGACAGCAGACAGTAGATGACACGACAGCAGACAGAAGATGACACGACAGCAGACAGTAGGTTACACGACAGCAGACAGTAGGTGACAATACAGCAGACAGTAGGTGACACGACAGCAGTTAGTAGATGACACGACAGCAGACAGTAGGTGACACGACAGCAGTTAGTAGATGACACGACAGCAGACAGTAGGTGATACGACAGCAGACAGTAGGTGACACCACAGCAGACAGTAGGTGACAACAGACAGTAGGTGACACGACAGCAGACAGTAGGTGACAGCAGACAGTAGATGACACGACAGCAGACAGTAGGTGACAGCAGACAGTAGGTGAAACGACAGCAGACAGTAGATGACACGACAGCAGACAGTAGATGACACGCCAGCAGACAGTAGGTGACACGACAGCAGACAGTAGATAACAGCAAACAGTAGATGACACGACAGCAGACAGTAGGTGACACGACAGCAGACAGTAGGTGACACGAAAGCAGACAGTAGATGACACGACAGCAGACAGTAGATGACACGCCAGCAGACAGTAGGTGACACGACAGCAGACAGTAGATAACAGCAGACAGTAGATGACACGACAGCAGACAGCAGATGACACGACAGCAGACAGTAGATGACACGACAGCAGACAGTAGATGACACGACAGCAGACAGTAGGTGACACGACAGCAGACAGTAGGTGACACGCCAGCAGACAGTAGGTGACACGACAGCAGACAGTAGATGACACGACAGCAGGCAGTAGGTGACACGACAGCAGACAGTAGATGACACGCCAGCAGACAGTAGATGACACGACAGCAGACAGTAGATGACACGACAGCAGACAGTAGATGACACGACAGCAGACAGTAGATGACACGCCAGCAGACAGTAGGTGACACGACAGCAGACAGCAGA